GTTATACTTCATCCCATTAAACTTTTGAGACCAGTTTCAGATTTATAGCTGGGCTTAAGTTTTTATTTAAAGAGGACAGTTGACAGAGCAGTTTTAATGTCTTTGTTTTAACAATCCAGCAACAGAGCAGCCTTGGTCCCTGGGAAACTTTCCCTGCAGAACGTCCCTGGCCTCGGTCTTCGGGTTCAGGGAGAGTGGAGCAGGGACACAGAGGCTGGGCTGGGCCCAGGGGCGTCATCTGATTCCGGTGTGGTCGGCTCACAGCCAGCTGAGTCCGTGGTGCCAGCTCTGAGCACCACCAGGGGCGGCCTGCAGACTGGTGGGTGGAGGAGCTCTTGGTGCTTTATTTACTTAAACTGACTTTGTAGTTGAACCGATGTCTCCTTTCCTCGCTGTTAGGAATTTTGGAAACCTAGGCAGGTGCCCATTTCCTGGGTGAACTGAGTCACTTCCCTCCTGGGGTTGAATAATGCCCTTGGCCCCCTGACACTGGGCTCTGGGAACTTACTGTTTAAATTATACTAAATTTACTCTCACCAGTTTCTTCTGCTTCCCCCAGATAGCTCTCCCCTGGCAGCTGCCCTGGGGGTGGCTGTGGGGGCCAAGGGGGCCCAGGCAGGCGGCAGTAGCAGCTCCTCGATAAGGGCTGTCAGGAGGCGTCCACTGGAGTGAAACAGTCCCTCGCAGACTTCCGGGGACAAATTTCCTTTCCAAGCCAGTTCCCATCTCTCGAGGGCCCTGCCTGGGGGTCGGCTTTTCTCTCTCCTCTGCAGGGTGCTCGGGGACCCCTAACCTAGTCTACCCAGTCCCCCCCCAACTCTGTCCCTGGGTGGCTGGACATTCCCACTCTGTGCCTTTGCTCCTGAGAGTGTCCCCTGTCCATTGCCACTTTCCCTGGACAGCTGCAGAGGCACCTAGGGTGGGGACTTGTCCAGAGCTGCCCATTTCGGAAGGGACAGAGCAGAGGACTCATCTCTGACCCAAGAACAGAGCTCGCCGCACAACCTCACACTGTCCGTTTGGTCATCTCCTTAACATCTGTTGGGAGAGTGTAAGTGGGGAAGACGGCTTCTCTCTTCCTTCCCTGCCTCCCTGCCTCCCTCCCCTCCTTTCTTCCTTTTCCCAGATGGGGCATTAAAAACAAACAGCGCCATCATCAACCATCTTTGTCATTCCACAAACGCAAGGATGGTTAGCTCCCCAGACCGTAGGAGAGACGATCATGTAAAGAGCTCTCCCCACGCACAAGAGTCTATAGGGAGAGGCCCTGGGTAAAGGGGAGGGAAGGCCTGCTCTGCCGTCCTCTCTTCTGTAGCCCTTGAATCTTCACCATGTAAGTAAATATAATTATCTATTAAAAAAGGGAAAAACCCACCCAAACATGTAAGTAAATATAATTATCTATTAAAAAAGGGAAAAACCCACCCAAATCCCAGGCTGTCTTTCCTCCATCCACACAGCTCGCTAGGTTCTTCCTGTTTTCATTTCTTCCTGGGACAGTGAAGAAAACTTCATGCCTGCCTGTAGCATTGCGGGCAGATGGCTGTTTGGAAACTCCTGGTCTCATCTTCTCAATTAATTTTAAGTTTTTTACATCGTTCACAGCCTTCTCCTGTCCAGGCTCTCCAGCCAGGCAACCTCAGGTTGAATCCTAACTCGTCTGCTTCCTTGCCTGCTCCTTTGGAGCAAGTTATTTCGCTTCTTTGTGCCTCAGCTTCCTCATCTGTAAAATGGACCAACAGTGCACCCGGCCTCCAAGGGTTGCTGGGGGTTGAGGTGGGATTAGTAAGTGCTCCGTAGAGGCCAGCTATTTTTACAGCTGTCATCGTCCTCTCTGCCTTGCCCCTGATCTATCAGAAAGACACAGCTCCTACCCAACAAATGCACAGTCTCCCCGACTGATGCTGGAGGGAAAAGTCACATACGTGCCTCGAGGTAGGGGGCAGGGAGGGTGACACAGGCGAGTGTAAGGCACATTTATGCATAAATGTGAGCTCCCAGAGAAAGCACGGGGGCTCCTCAAAATGAAAAACATAATGACAGGGTCTTCACTTTCACCCCCAAGATAGGGCTCTGGGGTAGTTTTATTTTTCCTGGGCCTTTGCCTAGAAAGTGAGGATTCTAGGGAGGCTACAAATAACAGTCCAGCCGTCTTATTTCCTTCCCTCTGGTAGAAACCAATGGCCATCTGTTGTTTAGTCCACTCAAAAGAGGATGTTGAGGTTTGTTTTTCCTTCGGACTCAAGGGTGCTCAGGAGCCCCGCAGCCCCCGGCCTGTCTCACATGAAGCGTCCCTGAGAAGGCAGTGGATTTCGGGGCTGCATGGAACTCCCCGCTGGACCCCAGAGCATGGAACGTAAGGAACGGCCCCCACCCTGTGGCAGGCGTCCTCAGCTCGCCCATCACCTCGCTGCAGGGCGGAGTGGGGGCTGGGGGAGTGTGGCACACAGACAGGTGCACAGGTGCCCTTTGCAGGCACAGGCTGGGCACTAGGCTTTCTCTGAGGCCTGAGACCTCATGTGAAACTGCGAGATGCCGTTTCTGAGCTGAGCCAACCCCCTGCAAACTGCCTGCTCTGCTCTTTGACGCTTGCTGTTATTATGATTACTTACACACTTTTTTATTGTTATTATTTTCTCCTAATTGCAGTTCATGCAAAGCTCCCCACCCAGGGAATTGCATGCCTGATGGGTAGTTATTCTCAGAAGCTAGATACTGGAGCCGACAACCTCTTAAGTGATATTTAGATAGAAGATAGAGTGTTTCCATGACCCAGTTTCTCTGGAGCTTACATAGATCACGGACTCGTGCTTCTGAGTTGGGATTGCTTTTTTTTTTTTTTTTTTAAATGTAATATATTTGATGTGGTTTAGGTGATCTTAGGTGATCTGGGGTTTTAAATATGTTTTGTGGAGTGTGTACCTTCCTTCAGTATCTTAAAGGAGTATGATGTGTGTGCGTGTTGTGTGTGTGTGACTGTGAGTGAGTGTGTTGTACCAAATCACTTTAGAATTTAGGGTTAACATTTCTGCCTTTTCCTGGGCTTGAATGTTTAGTTTATTTTCTTTAATATGTTGTGGGTTTTGAGGGTACTTGGGACAGACCCTTGGAGGATGTAAGTTGACTCTGCTGTTGAAGAAGCTGGATTTGGGGGTTTTCCTAAAATGTTATTTGACTCGGGGAAATTGTCGATGCAGGACCATTGCCCAGGCCTTCCCGCAGACTGACAGCAGGGATCCGTAGTGTAAGCATTCGGCTCTGATGAGCCTTACAGATGCCTTTGGAGTATGGATTTCCAAGGAATTAACGTGTGGAGAAGGTCTCTGGTAGATGTGACATCATAGCATCTATAAATAATGCATGACGCAATATGCTGCAAGCACCCAGCCTCAGCCATCTGCACCGGGATGCTGCGCTGTCTGAAATAATGGCTTTTACTGAAGCCAGAAACCACACGAAGCAGCATAAATGTAAATGGAAAGTATACGTACATGTGTTTGCATGCTAGATGATTCTGGCGCCGTCTTAGGGGAGTTTTTGTCTGCACAGAGTTGGACTCTTACCCAGTTTTCTCAGCCTTCCCCCACAGTGTAATTGTTCTGATCACTTCAAGGCCATCATGTTCTGGCCTCTGTGAGTGTGAAGATCAGCAGATATGAAAAATAAAAACGACAAGAGAGCCTTGTGGTAAAGGGCAAGCACTCTGGAGAGGGGCTCTCTGGCTTAACCATGATTCCCATTTCCTAGCTGGGCGACCTTGCAAGTTACTGTGACTCAGTTTCCTCACCTGTGAAATGGGGATAATATTACCCATACCAGAGAGTCATCCTGAGAACAGAATGATTTAACCCATGTAAATAGCTCAGGACAGTACCCAGAACATTGTAAACAATTTGTGTTTATTATTAGCTAATAACAGACTAATCTGAAAATAAATTTATTGAAAAAGACGTATTGTGGCTGCAAAAATCTGAAGATTCCAAATGGATTCAGGAGCCCAAGTGGTATAAAAACCATTTTTTTCATGACAAAAATGTTTTACAGTTGAACTAAACAACAACGAAAAGTAATCAGAACTGGATAAAATTAAGTCAAATGTTACCACCAACAGCTCCTTACTAAGGCCAGATAGTAAACCAGCTTGCTATGGAGAAAGGTCATTTCTTTCTCCTGTGCAATATTGGACTGATTATAACATTTAAAGTGAACCGAGATGGCTTAAGAAGCACTTACATACATCAGAGAATAGCGGACGTCTGCTGAGCAGGGGATAGACCCTGAGTAATGGAAATGCTGAGTGAAGGGACAATCTCTAGGGCAGTGCCAAATGGAGTGGACCTCCGCTCAATCTCATTGGAGGTCAGGGATAATGATTGGGACGAGAGAAACACCATTAAGTACTTGGTGTTTGCAAATGCTGATCTGTCCAGATCTATCTATCCATACCTATCTATCTTAATACCAATCAAGAAGGATTATGGGAAAAAGGCATAGCCAAAAGCCTTAATCAAATCGAAGGACAATTGGGTTCCACCCAGCTGTTCCTTAGCTGGGTCACCTTGGACAGGTCACTTACCCTCGACCTTTATTTCCCAGGCTATATAAAATAAGGCGACTAGATTCGATGAGTGGGTTTTGAATTGCAAAACTTTTTGTTCAAATGAAAGCTGGCATGGAAGCCTAACATGCAGAGGGGTGAGAGTATGAAATAAAGTGTGTGGGGGGGTAGCAGCTGTGGAGCGCTGGCACAGCTCTCTTACCTCTTGGTTAACCCCGGAGCACTGTTTTGGCTGAATGGGAATCCACCGAGTGTATTTATTTGCATGATGGCGCGTCAGTGAAAACCCAGATGTGGTTTGGCTTATGACTGAAAAGAATGTCAAGGGCCTTGGAATCCTTTGAGGCCAAGGTTGAGAACGTGGGGCCCAGGCGGTGGTTCTGCAGCAGCGAGAGAAGCGTGCAGCTGCCTGAGACCCTTCCTGGAACAGTGAACTCGTGTCTCTACATTTATTTACTTGAGGGAGGATCTGCTGGGGACATGGAGTCAACTGTCAAACCGTATCCTCCGGGTAAAGCACAGAAGAGTAAATTAGTGAGAAGCTTGGCAGAATGAACCTTGCTGCAGAGATTTCTTAGAATAACGATCTTTTAATACGATTTGCACTTCGTTGGGAAGAAACTCAGTGTTCAGAGGCTTGCCATGCTAGCTGGCACTTGCAAAGACAGCAGGAAACTAATTTAATATCCACAAACTGAAGGTTCACTTTAGAGAAGCGTCAGGTCCGATGGGGATGTGTTCGAGGGAGTTTGCTTCTTGATTGAAGGAATGGATTTGTTCCAAGTCATTCCCGTCCCTGCTCCCTCGCCAGCGCGTATTGAAGCTCAGCCTTCTGCCGGGGGTCTGGCTTCTGCTTTACTTAGCCCAAGAGACTGTCTGAAATCCAGGTAGTTTTCCCAGATGCTGGGAGACAGAGTCTCAGCTGCTTGAGAAATTAGAGCGCGTGTTGACCCCCAGTAGCACGAGAGGTCACAGAAGCTGAATTGCTATCAAGTCCAATGTATTCTGATACAACTGTTCTTCCCCAAACAAAACTGTGTGGCCCCTACTTATTCACAGCGGTTAACATTTATAAGACTTTTTCATTTGTCCTTGTAAAGTGATTTGCTTGGCTGATTATTTTATTATTATTTTTCTTTTTCAGTTACAGTTGACTTCCAATATTATTTTGTATTGGTTTCAGGTAGACAGCAAAGTGGTTAGACAATCATAAACCTTACAAAGTGTTCCCCCCAATTTGGCTGATTTCTTAATTAAAAGCGTATTTCCTCCTAGATTCAAACTTTTTTCTATAGAAATATGTCTCTACTTTGGAAAAAAAAAAGACCATGGAAAAACAGTATTAGCTATAAAAATAGTTCACTCGATACATTATTTTAAGGAAGGGGAGAGAGGAACTGACATTTGTTGGGAGCTTCTAGGTGCCTGGTGCTTCCTCTTTTAATCCTTTGGGTGACCTGAGCTATAGGGGGATTGTCTTTATTTCCCATGTAGAATGTTGCCCACGGTCACACAGTCTGAATTGGCCAAACTGGGTTTGGGACCTGGGCCCATCCCAAGTGACATTCCATGGGTTTCCCTCGACTCCAGGAAATTGCCGTAGAGTGAGACCTGTTTGTGTTGTCACTTCCTCCTCAGGCAAGTAGCTAAAGTGTGCTAGTGGGAGCCCGCCTGTGCCTGTCCTTTAGTCTAGAGGCCTTGGGTGTGTGGAGTGCAGCAGGCGGGCGGTACAAGGAGTCATTCATTCATTCCGCCTACACGCATAGTTAACTGTGATGCCGAGCATGTGGAGCCTGACTCGAAAGGAAAAGCCAGTAATAATGATCCCGTCTTTACTTACAATTTTGGTATTTTGCTCAGTATGGAATGTTTTGCATTAATTTTTATTTTTCAAAATATTGCATGAAACTGTCACTTATCTTGATGCCCGGGTGCTTTGGTAACCCCTTTAAATTTTGCACCTGCGCCCCTGTCTCCTTTGCCGCACCCTAGTCCCGGCCCTGGTATATTCTTTTATTTGAGTGCCAGGCAGTGAGCTACGTGCTTGGAGATACGTGATAAAGATGGACAGGAGCTTTCAGACGAGTAAGAGTCAGTCGTGCAAATCGTCGTAACAGCATAATTATAAGGTGGCGGGGAAAGTGTGACGGGGAAGGAGTCTGTTGAGCCAAGGTGCCTGGGAGGCAGGCTGGGGTGCAGGCTGCCTGCGCTTGGCCAGTGGACACATGGGTGCGGGAGGAATGTAAGGAAGTGTCTGGAAATGACAAGTCCCTTCATCGCTCTGAGCCTCAGTTTTCCTCATCTGTACAATGGAGGAAATGGTCACACCTACTTCATAAGGTTGTTTATTGTCAGGACTAGAATGAGTTCACTGGACTAAGTGCCTAGAACAGATTTTGGCACCTGCCTTAATATCTGTTAGCCACAGTGGTGATGATGATGACCATTGTATGCGGATATTTTAAAATGACGGTACCTATGGGCCACATACACAGTCTAAACTTTGCTTTGCAGACATCCACGACAGTGACGGGAGTTCCAGCAGTGGCCACCAGAACCCCAAGAGCACAGCCAAATGGGCGGCCTCTCTGGAGAATCTGCTCGAAGACCCAGAAGGCGTGAAAAGATTTCGGGTTTGCCTTTTTCTTTGTTGACAGGATTGATTTGACACATGAAGAAGTTTAGATGTGTTTCGGGGGGAGCACAGGCCAGTTTTTAACACTGTCTGTCCCAACTCGAGAATAAGAACGTCTCACCTGTCGATACCAAGATGGACAGGGTTTCCCAGATAGCCGTGGACCAGCTCCGAAGGTCACGCACAGGCCAGCTCTGGGTTTCATGTAGCTGGATGGTGAGGATGGGGCCGTGGGGAAGAGAGACCATGCTCACTGGCAGGATCCACGGAGAGTGTCCAACTCTGCGGTACCTGGGAGGGCTGGTCTTGGTCTCTCTGATGTGAAGGTTTGTTCTTTTATATGTTGGAATTATTAACAGAGTGAGACAGGCTAGACAACAGCTGGCAAAGTGAAGTTCAACTTCAAGAGGAGGCTGATGGATGGGGAGGCATCGGTGCTGCCTAGAAGTAACTTTTTTGGTCAGCAGCAACCCCAGGTGTCCGAAGAAGCCTGTGTGAATTTGAAGAATGCCCTGTATCTGTCCTTAAATCTGTGGTCAGGCCAGGATGAGCCCTCAGGCTGTTGGTCCTTCAGCGCCCAGGGAAGGGTGACAGGCAGGGCTACTAATATTCCTGGTCACCAGGCCACTGTGAGCTCCGTCTAGATCTCATGGAGGACACTCTTCTGTGCCACTAACCCCAACATTTGCCAAAAGAGAAAAATAGAGCCCTCCAACTTAAAATGGTTTTCAGCATGACATTTTTGGACATGCTTAATATGTTTTCTTTTGTTTTGTTTAAAAAAAATGGCCTGATTTTAGAGGAATGTACTTTGTTTAAACACTGTCTGGAAGGAACTAATATATCTTCCACTTTAATTTACTTTCTGGTAATTTATTGTTAGCTTAGAGTTGCGAGGAGATGCTGGCTTCATTTTTACTCCCATTTACAATGTCAAAGCCATTACGTTCAAATGTATATGAAATTCTAGCTCTCACATTAAACATCAGCTTTGTTTTTCAGGGTGCAGTTTTCAAGCTCATTTTTTGGATTTTACCAAATCGATCCTTGAAGGGAGATGCATTCTTTATTTGTCGTTGTTTTTTAAAAACAGGATACTGTTTTATATATTTTCTCTCTGTATCCATAGGAATTTTTAAAAAAGGAATTCAGTGAAGAAAACGTTTTGTTTTGGCTAGCGTGTGAGGATTTTAAGAAAACAGAAGATAAGCAGCAGGTATTTCTTCCACGATGTCCTCATGTTCTCCACAATTTTTTTCTCTCCTTATAAACTTACAGCTACCTTTCCAATCTATTTTGAAATTTCCCGAAGAAGTCTGATCCTTATTGGATGTGGGGGAGGGTTTAAGCTTCAGATTAGGTATCTTGTGTTGCTCAACTAGTCATAATTTTGAAAAGAGGGGTGTTAATCCTTGTTTAAATGGAGCTGTGCAAATGGACAAATATTTAAAGTAAAAATAACAGTTTATGACATTTAGAGTTCATCATCGTGTATGATTTTCTTCTTCGTGGATAAGTTATGCGGATGCTGCCCCGGTGTTTGACGTGTCTGCATTTTGTACGGAGGCAGTGAAATGACAAGCAGATCTGGTGACAAAAGCAGCGTGCCTCAGGTGGACTGTCAGTTGTTCACTGTATCTTTACGGGACATCCCGTAGTCGGCCGGCATCCCACGCAGACGTTTCTGACTGGTCTCCTGTGTGCTCTTTGCAGGGGTGGCCTTTCATTCTCACGCCAGCCAGCGTTTCCACCACTGAAGGCTGAGGATAGGGAGAGGTGGAGGAGATTTCGGGGAAGGAGGCCTGTGCGTTGGGCGTGCTTTTGAGGCCAGTGCCTGTGTATTTCTAAGAGGCTACCACCTAAATGCCCACAGGGTCCAGGAAGTAATGTACCCGGGCGAGGCTTTTGGTGTGAGGCTGTAGGGAGTGGGGGGGACTGGGGCCATCAGGGTTGCGGCTGGTTGCTGAGCTGACTTTGGCAATGAAGGCTTTGGGGTCTGTGGCTGTCTGGGCTTTCTCTGCTTCGAGTTCTGCCCACCGAGGCCTTCGCTTGCCCACCCTTGCCCCCAGAACTCCAAGGGGTATTTCTTCCTACGGCAACTTCTCCCATCTTCAGTCCAGTGCTGCCTATTTCTCCAGAGAAGCTACGCATTTGGATTTTTATGTGAACCCATCTGATATTGTAAGGGTTAGAACTAATTTTTTTTAAATGTAAAACCTTGCCTGCCAAACAAAACACATCCATGGGCAGATGTGGCTTGTGGGCTGCCAGTTATTGAACATCTGTCTCCAAACGCTGGAACCCAGCCGTCATTACGTGTTCGCAGGCAGCAGCCTGGAAAATGTTCACGACTGGTTTATTCAAAGGCTCTTCTGGAATTCGGACCCACTTTCCCCAGGTTGGAGCAGTGTGGCCTCCCTCCCCTTAGGGGCAAGGGTGGATTCTGAGAGAGGTTCCCTGGAGCTTGAATTTCCTAGGTCGGCCTAGAAGGCTGTCCAAGGCATGACCCTTAGTATTTACTTTTGTCGGCTTCTGCTCTCTGGATGGCTTTGCCTGAGCCTCCTGGGCGGTGAGTGGCCTCAGGCAGCAGGAGAGAGGGCTGCCACCCTTCAGGCAGGATTGCTCATCCCTCTCTTTTGCCCCCGGCACCCAGGACAGGGCCCAGGGACAGCCTCCCATAAACGCTGGACTGTGCTGTTGACTTGTCCAGCCTCCCCTGGAACCCAGCTCAGAGTCGAGCAGGCGAGCAGATGCCCATCCCTCTGCCTTATTCGTTGTGTGTTGGAGGTGAGAGGGCCTGCAGGTTGGCCAGCACACCCGTCATTGGACAGACCAAAAAGTCGAGTTTCCTCCTTGGCCAAGCTGGGACTTGAACCAGCGCTTGAGGCCACCCAGTCAGTTGCCCTGCAGACCATGCCGGTGCGTCCTTCAGTTCAGCCGAGTTCACCAGATCTTTGTGGAGTGCTTGCTGGGGGCCAGGCCTGTGACAAGCATGGGAGACACTCAGGGACAAGACAGACGAGCTTCTTTGGGGAACAGATATTGGGAGGGGAAGCCTGGAGCCTCGAAATGGGAAGTGCAGTTCTGTGGGAGCAGAGGCAGTGAGCAGTCTGGAAAGCCCCCAGGGGAAGGGACTTTTAAGCCAGCTGACACCTGACACCTGAACTGGAGTTTGGGCATGGGGGTCCTATTCCTTGAAGAGGGGACAGCATGTGGGGAGGAATTCCTGGAGAGGAGAGCTGATGGTAGACCAGATGGCTGGAGGCCACGCT